CAGGCCTCCGGATGACCGACGAGAATAAGGGCGTTTGGAACGTTCGGCGAGAAAGTTAGGATGAGATGCTTTTGTGTGTGTGTGTGTGGTCTTCGGGCGTAAGTGATTGAGGGAGTCTGAAAACAGGGCGCCGTTTGGACCTGCGGGGTGGGGAGCTGAAAAAAGAGGACTGCTTGGCTAGGCGTTGCAAAGTTTGCAATTTGTGATCTTCGCCTTGCATTATTAAAGCGATAGAGCCAAAAAGACGACGAAATGGGCAAGCATGTAGCACGCATTGGGAAATGAAACATATACATTCAGCATTTTAGTTGCAAGGACACCAGTTGACAGAGCACTTGTGGAACTTACGTGGATTGGAATGGACTCAACTGGCTTTTCTTGAAGTTCACTGTTTTTTAGACATTATTTTCTGAGCCGAACGGGTTTCAACTTTGTGTGTACAATGCAATTTCTCATACTCGGGCGCCATATTGTGATCGTTATTCCCCGTCGGATTACCCATGTCTTCGCCTTTTCTTTCGGACTCTGCCTTCCTATCCTTCCTCGTTTCCTTAAATTTCTTCATATATCTTTTCATTCTTGAGGCTACAGCTTTCGAGTTTGGACTGTACCTTGTTGCAGCAAACACGCACCTGTGTTCGTGTTTGCTTGATCACCGCATTTGCTTCTGAGAAAACAAAACCGAAGCCCGTTCCCCCCTTGTCAATAGAACATTTATTGCAATAGGATTTCCCAACTGTCTGATCTCACCGCCGCCCTTGCGAGGAGCCGCCAAGAGATTCCGTCGTTCCGAGGAATTTTCTCGTGTCTTTCTGTTAATTGCGCCTTTCGTGAGCAAACTGAGCAGATCATGCCCGTCTGCTGCATGCATCTCGTCTCATGCCAGGGGTGCCCACCCTAGGGAACGCAGGCAGAGTGTGTCCAACGACACATCTTCATGTTGCCCTTTGAAGACCAAAGTCCAAGGTTTGAGGCTGTCAGAGTTTTTGGAATGAAGCTGAAATTTTCGTAGAAAGTTGAAGAATGCTAACCTGCGTCATTTTCTTCCTGTGATTTGCTTCGCTGACTGTTGTCTCTCCAAGTGTCCTTGATTCAGAAATGGTCGATTTCTTGCCCGAGACATCGCCAGGCTACGAATTCACTGTCTTTTAAAATCCATTCGCCGTGGCGCCAGAAATTTGCTGCTTAAATTGTTTGTTTCGCTTAGTGGTTTAATGCAGGGAGCTTTTATCACATTTCATGTTTCTTTTCCAGCACTACATTTCTCGGAGTAACGTCAGGTTACCACAAAATTATCAGATGTGTTTGGTAGAAGTTTTCATTCTCGAATTTGACTGTCTTATGAGTTTTTGCGCCACGTAGTCTGGTAGAAGTTCACCTATGTTTCAGAGGTGCTTGCTGCTTCCATCATCAGGACGGTATGTAAATTATGGAAGCAGCAAGCATCACTGAAACGTCGGTTGACTTAAACCAGACTACGCGGCGTAACAACCCACAAGACATCAGCTATCTTAGTACTCGCCGATGTGAGAACCTCAAATCTTACAGATATCGAAAAAAACAAATGCAAGTTCTGTTCTGAAATAACAAACGGGAACTTGCACGATTCATAACCACTCTTTACTTTGGGTGTCGCTAAGGTGGAACGGTGGTTATTTCAATGGGTGCACAAGAACTCAGGGCTATATAAACGTGCATCAGACTTTTCCTGAAGTATTAAATTACTTCTTACTAAATTCTGTTTTTCTGATCCATCTCAGAAGCTTGTTGGCATTCTTATAGGCTAATTTAACACAAATTTTGATATGGAATACTTGAATACGACACCGAAAAATGTAGCCTGTTATTCTATCGGCTCTTGGCAAATTACCTGCACCTTATTAACATCTCCAGGATTTATTTGTAACATTCATGATGCAGTTAATATTTACGGAATTCCAGTAAAACGTTTTGGCTTCGCAACACGACCCTTGAGCTATACAAAAATTGAAAATGTCGTGTGTTCAGCATTTCAGTCCCGTGTATTTGGCCTTGGAGCGTGGCCTGACGCTCTCCTGTAATTTATAAATGCTTACTTTTCGTGTCTGCGCAATGTCTTGTAATGGGAAAAGATATAATTTAAAATAATTAATTAGGAAATGTGTGGGTTGAAGCGGATCTGGCGTGTAAGACAAACCCGGCAAACTTTAAATTTATCCTTCGGAACGTGTGATGTTTCTATTGTTAATGAATTTATTACTTTTCATTTGGCATTCATTTCTGGGCCTATGGGTAAAACACGCCATAATAAGATATTAAATATTTGTTTCGTAAACGAAAGAAGTTTTAAGAGGAGAAGATTAAAATGGAGAAAGTTGGAGAAGAACTCTGAAGCCTAAATAATCTGAAAACGATGGACAATGACAAACTGCCAACACGTTTAGTGCAAAACAGACGGAAGAAAAACGATACGGAGCCCGATTACTTGATTAGGAATTTGAAAGTTGATTCCAAGTTGGCTTCGAAGTCGTAACTACAGTATACTTCTTTATCGGAAATGTCTTTCCGGGTGATTTACACTTCAAAAGTGTGCAGTTCCTCACGAAAGTTCTGCGGATGTCGTTAAGAAAAGCCCTAAAAATATTTTTCTTTTTTACGGAGACAATCGACAGAGAATATGTGCTAAAGGACATTTTTGTATGCACGGAACCGTCGCAAATCAAACAATTCAGCTGAACTGTAAACCGAGATGCGAGGGTCTGACTTCAATGCTCTCGCTTCCCTGTCGATGGCAAATATTTCCGTCATTTCTCTTGCCCACACAATCGCCTTTTACGCATTGACGCAGCCCGCACCTCGCGGCCTAGTGATTCCGTAGAACACATGAAGTCGGTCTCCAAACCTGAGGTCTGTGTTCTTGATCCGGAGAGAATTTGGTTGCCGGAGGTCCGAAGCGGAATTTTTGCGTGTTGCTTCGCGCTGATGGGAGCTTTGGTCACTCTTTGTTCAGGACGAACATGGAGTGACGTTGAGGTTGATGCTTTTTCCTACCGGAGATGACGTAACTGTGTGGAGCGCGTTACGTAACTCCTCCGACCGAATTAGGAGGAATTGGTTGGGTGGATTCAGCCGCTGTATTTTGACTGAAGACCTTAACAACAGGGACGAGTTTGGTGCAGACGGGAGGATAGGATTAAATAGATCTGCCAGACTACAGCCATCTTCGGACACACCGCCTTGAATAACCTCATATCCGGGGCTTTTAAGCGAATGTAATTTGTTTCACCAATAAAGTAACATGGCGATATTTAGCACAGAAGTTAAGCACGTCGGAAATAGTTCTTGGTAGCGATTTGGTACTGTGATTTTGACCATATTGGATAGCTCAGCACTGCTTCTGTGTTGCTTACATTATCGGCGTCCACAGTAATCGAAAGCGCAAGGCGTTGTCAAGCTCACTGGACTTAAGTCTGTTGATCTCGTGCAGAGGGCTTTTCGACGAATGTGCCTTAAAGATCCACCTGCGGACAAAACCTTCTAAGAGCTTTTGAGAGACCGCAGTATTTTGCAGCAAAGCACACTGATCGACCTGCCGTAAAATTTTTAAGAAAATGTTGAAAAAATCCGATGTTCCTTTTCCCGCAGTCAAAATTCCGTGAGACGATGATCTGTTGCGTGTGATGATGATAATAATGATGATGATGGCTATTTTGTGGGATGTTGCACCAAGAAGTTTGATATAATTTTACACGTTTCAGAGTGATTCTTATGATGGAGACAGCGCTCTTGAAACGCCGGGAAATTTATGCCATATTTCACAGTGGAAACCCCCAGAAAATAGCCAACTTCTGTCAAGAAATTCCGTCTTTTGTTGAAGCCGAAGATTCATTGCCACTCCCTAAAAAATCTAGCACCGGCCCCTTCTAATGCTGTAGCAGCTGAATCCAATCTCGATATTCCATTTTAAATATTCTCGCACTTTTCTACAATTTTTAAATAAACTCTTCAGAAAAGGGTTTGTGACCAGATCTTGTATGCATGACGTGATACAAATATAACAATAAAAGAGTGACATTTGTGTCTGAAACGGAGTTATTCATTTGATTTGTAGAGTTTGGTAAGTAGTTTTCCAATGTAGTTAGGACGGAATAAAGTTTGCGGACCATTTGGGACCCCCACAACGTCACCGACAACTCAGAAGAATTCATTTTAATTGAAATTCATTAGCGGTCGTGAAAAACGTGTGATGTAAAACCGAAGATCAGGGCAGCAGGTGTCATGCGAAGTTGTGTTTTGCAACTGTAGGCAGGTTAGCTACGTAAGTAACGTTGGATCTGCCTTAAGTATGGGAGTATAAAGCAGAAGCTGTTGGTCTTCTGCGAACGTCGTAGATCATCTGTGGATGTCTCTAAAGAAGACACTTACGAACTCGGGCATCTGAAAATCGAATCCAGATCTACATTTTACTCGATACATTTCCAGTCTTACATTCATCAATATTCAAGCAAAACTTTGCCGTATTTTACCATGATTTTCATATTGACTCTTATGATTTTACCATTGTTTATTAAACACTTACTATGTGTTAAAGCTCCAGACTTCACCAGTTATTATTTATGAGTATGGAACCACGCCATTCTATTATATATTTATTTTGTAGTGATATTTGACGCTTAATCCATTAACATATCTGATAGTGGCGGCACTCCAAGACATGTAATCTTTACCTAATGCCACATGTGGTGTTGATGTGTGTTTATTCACGCGTAATCAACATCGACGAACACCGATTTTTCTATCTGGAAAAGGATAATTATGTAATATTTTCTCATCCTCTAAACTTCCTCGCTCTTAGAAAAAAACATTTCGTATTGCGCCTCCGTCTGTAGCACTCTGTTCCCTCGGAGCGTCCAAACATTGACGGACCCCGGACTGCAAACCGGTGCAAATTGCGACAAAAACAACGCCTTGCCTCTTCCTGATGGCTACTCACATCCCATGACCAAACCCAAGATAAGAAACATCAACGTTCTTCGGTTACCTTCGTGCGTCTTCGGATTTCGTCACGATGGCCCTCAAGACGGGTTACAAAAGTGGTACCTGAGTCATAACAACATCATTACTTCACGTGTCAGCATAACTGAGCATTCTTCTCGTATATTAAAACAAGTGAAGGCGTTGTTACGCAGTGTTCAGTAACCATGACAACCGCAACCATGCTACTGCTCCTGATGGCTGCAGCTTCAACCATCGCCTTTTCTCCACAGGAAGGGTCCATCGGGCCTGAAAACGGTAATAAAATGTATTTTCACAAATAACTGTAATTAAATTTTATAATTTACGTTCTGCTACTGTAAGACGACATTATAATTATTGAATAAAAATTTTCTTGGATATTATCCATCGTCTAGTATATAAAACGTAAAACGACGTTTCGGAGATGGGGCTCTATCTTCGTCTTCAGGTTCCTACACAGTTGGGCCCACTAGATAGAGCTAATCCCTATCTAGGTCCGGAGATAGGGATTAGCTCTATCTAGTGGGCCCAACTGTGTAGGAACCTGAAGACGGAGACAGAGCCCCATCTCCGAAACGTCGTTTTACGTTTTATATTTTATTAGACGATGGATAATATCCAAGAAAATTTTTATTCAAAAGACTCATCACCATCGTCAAGAAGTTTTAGATTTGATATTATAATTATTGCTTCTAATTCGAGTTAATTTTAAGTAGCATTTGATTTTTTCACGGCGGTGAGGCTGAAGATGTCTGTCTTCTGGGTTTG